GTCGCCCTAGGGTAGTCTATATCCCCGATCTCAGGCTGTCCCTCATCCTCATACTCCCATGATACAGCTGAATCTTCCGTCCAGAGCTCAACCTCGGAGTTACAGTCAGTGGAGTTAGGATTGTCTTCATCTTCCATGAACTCAAATAGCTTGACGAAGGATCCTTCCACCAACGGCACGGCTTGTCGAAACATGTATCGCACCTGACCTATCATTGCATAGCATAATGCTCTACGATCGCACTCATGTTGTGGCACTACAATTGCAAAGAGCGCTGCAACTTCCACTGCAGGATGGAGCACTGGCAATGCAACAGAAACAAGGTTACTGTGACCCTGTGAGAAGACCTGACACAAAAATGGCCTGTCATTAGCTAGTTTGTCTCGAACGACAATCAAATGCGGCCTTGGCAGGACCATAAGAATCGGTGGCGGATCAACCGGGACAAATGCCATCATACCTCTTGCCACATGAGTCCAATACGCTGCACATTGCGTAAAGAAGGTGTTAACATGCTCGAAGGCACATCGTGCCGGGTAGTTTTGGATAATCTCCTCCGAAGAGTCATGCAGCCACAGAGTCACTTCGCCAGCTTCCCTGAACCACCCCTTCAAGTAGGAAAGTACTTCATCCCGAGTTCTGCTTGTGTAGTATGCCATTGCCACTGGATGAGAGCGCCTTTCTACCTGCATTAGTGTGTGTTCTTCCACTCCAGCCTCTTTGTTTTCGTCATGGTGGAGTAGGTGTGCTTGTTCAAAATGCTCATTCTGCCGGAGCATTGAGGAGGCCGAAGTCCATGTATTATGCGTATGCATCTCTAAGCTAGACTCAGGCTCCCATGTGTTGGTCTGGGGATTAGCAAGTTCAAATCGTGTGTACTCCGTGACACTGAAAATGCCACCTGGCTCAGTCTCAAAAGCATCTCCTCGAAAAATACGTCTCCCGTTGTAAGTCAGATAGTGAGGTCCCAAGTTAACATGCCGATGTAGCCAGTCAACTATCACAGCTGCGCGTTCAACACGATATGGCTCAAATACGAAGCACTGTGTGGCATCCTCGGATATCACTTGTACCAGAATTGCAGATCGTCGTGGTAACAAGTCATCAACCAAGATAATACTTGGTACATTCTGCATCACTTCACCAACTACAGGGAATGCTCTTGTGCGTGCCATGTTGAAGTCAAAAGTATTGTCTTGGAGGAGATCGACCAAATCTCCAAATGGCCTATCTTCCACCAACATCCAAAGTGGGCAATGCACCATGGTTTCTGTCGTATCTCCAGCTAGAAGCTGTATCACATGGACCGGAATACTGAGCGGCTGCAGCGTTTGTGTCAGTGTATCAGTGTAAGATGCGATGTGAGCTCGAACCTGAGCCCAAGTCAGGACCCAATCAAATCGACCATTGTAAGCCCAGTCATGGTACTCCGGCTCATCCAGTGAGCTCACATCTTGCATTGGCCTTGAAGACAATGTACACAGCGTTGTGCTGGCACTTCGCTGCTCCTGTGCATCTGAAGAAGTAGTCATCTCTGTCGCATCCTCAGTGGTCGCATAGGTAGCCTGCACGCTACCTTCGACATCATAATGGCCTTCAACTTGCAAGGTATATTGCATGAAAACACTGACATCCTCGTTACCAATTGGAATCGGAGTTGCAGTGTTATCTCCGCATGTGCAGCTGCTACACCTTGCAACCAACAATGGTTTGGATCTGCTTTGGATCATGGATGTCTCATCCCCACATTTGTTGGCCATTTCAGCAACCAGTTGAAATGTCGTTCCATGAGGCTCACTTACGATCTCCTCATTCTCCCAAATACTTGTCATTGCCTCGTCTTTGTAAACAAGGAAGCATCTCGTTGTTGGCACAGCACATATCTCAGCCATACCAAGCTTTCTTGCAAGATGGTTGAACGTAATTCTCCTCTCACAAGCTATAGCAACTCTTCTTGGCATGAAGTTGCCAATCAAGTCAATGAGGTATGCCCGCATGCCCGTGTCCAAGGTGAGACTTGGAATAGCGACAAGGTCAATAGGCTGTACTCTTAGAGTCAATGGCGGCAGCGTAGGTCTTGCGATAGCTACTGAAAGGACTTTTCCTTCATGTCGGTCCTCCCAGTCCCGAAGGAAGCTTCTTGTGAAAGACTTTGTCGGCTGCAGGATACACACCCTTGCCACTGACTCAAGAGGCCTGCTCATAGTCACAACCCACGTATATATTGACACAACTGACAGGTCAGCAACTTGAAAATTGGCTTGTATATACGAACGCATCACATCTGAGTCCTCATGCAGACTTACCTCTAGCACCTCATGCTCAGGAGGGAGGAGCACCGGTAGGCTCTCAGGCACAGCCAGTTCTTGTTCATGGAACAAATGCATCAGTGTCATCGTATCACTCTCTTCTTCAAGCCCAACAGAGCTCGATGACTCAGGTGTGTTCAGCTCAGTAGCACAAGTACTCGTCTGGCTATCGACTTGTTCACTTGGGGAAATTTCGATCAGCTGGAGGTATATCCCTTCGTAAACTGGTACATTCTCCCCCCAAGTATAGGTATATATCCAATTTGGATCAACTACCTTGATCACACAGTCACTTACCCACACACATTGGTTATCAGGTACGACTTGCGCGAATATTGTATGCACAGTCAGGAAAACTCTCGTACTGAAAACGAAAGTCCCTCTGAAGTTGCGATGATCAGAAAAATAGTCAATCAAGGTTGGTACAAGATTCTCACCTGCATTGTTTGTAAGGATCACATGTGGCTGCCTACCATGGATGTCGTAGGGCGGCGGTCGAACTGGGTAAGCGAAACACGTCCTTCGCCCCAGGACATTATTCCATACACTCCTAACGATCATCCCTCCAGGAAGGGAATGGTCCAAGTAGACCGGACGCATCGCGAAAGCCACAGACCCTATTTGGTCAGCACTGTGCAACCAAACTCTGACATAGACTGGACCGGGAACCGGCATGACCTGCATAACATAAAAATTAACAAGATCAATGCTAAATCCCCTCGGTGGCGAAAGTTGCATTAGTTGCTGCTCGTCAGTCTCAGCATTTCGTCTGTCAGGGTTTGGGCGAGTCTGCTTGCTGTCCTTATAAGCTCTTCTACTATTAACCTGTTTGGCTTGGTCCCCAGTGATTGCAATCACGTCACTTGTGTCCTTAGATTGCTCAAAATCTGGATCAAAACTGGTATGCACCGCTCGACAGACAGTGTGGTATCCATCTGGAGCAAAGAGGTACCATGGCATAACATCCGTGAATTCATTCGCAATATCAAGGTTTGTCAATGTATTGCCACAAAACTGGATGTCGGCCAGGCCCTCCCGCGCGTCATCATGGCACCAAGAATTGCCAGTTGGCACATGTCTCGCACATGACGTAGACGAGACATTGCAGTCAGGGCTCTGTTCGCTAGTATGCCTATGCTTCACAGCATTGGACCTGTCGTAGTGGGCCTTTTCATGTCCAACTCTGACAACCTCTGCGTTTGCAATGTTGATCAGAAGAAAAACTGCAACAACGGTACGTCGACAAGGCAAGGTTCTGGTTGGCCGCCCACTAATATGTCGAACTGCCCCGGCTTTTCGAGCCTGAAAAGGAAATTTCGGCTTGAGCTCGCTTCGTTGCCTAAAATAAGCAGCCAAGCAGCATAGTGAAAGGCACACCAAATGCCCCCAGAAAAGTATTTGTAGGATATGCACACCACAGCACTTCTCAGGCGGCAAGCCCTCTGAGTGACTTCCAAGCTCCAAAAGGTATGAATTCCAGCACATGGAAATAATCCAAAGGCCACCCACCTCATACCAATCATTCGCTGGAAGCCAACTATAGAGTCTGTAATGCCTAAGGCAGAACAAATTATTGACAACTGAGACCATTCGTTCGTTCCACCGCCAATGCCAGAACCAAAGCCCAGACAGGTGTCAGCAGAAAAATGGAGATTCTTTGGATAGCAGATAAGGGGAAAACGCCAGCACCAACCAAATGATGCCCGCCACTGCCATCGCCTGTTGCGCAGTTCAGGAAGATATCATCCAAACAGAACAACAGTCCATCTTCAACCGTGTATTCCTCAAAGGCCATAGACCAATTGGTGCCAACTTCATTGAAACCCGAAGTCGAACATCGATTCCACATAACATCAAAGCTTCCACAGGAGGAACCCCATCCTTCTAGCGAAGTATAGCGAATTGCTTCCCTCTTCTCAATGTAAGTCTTGCTGCCTTGAAAGGTGGCGCAAGCATCATACAACGAGGAGGTACTTCCTTGGTTTAGTCCGACAACTGATCCAGCACCCTTCCTTCCTCCTTGCTGTTTCGTCGGCTCATACTCGATGACCCCTTTGCATCCGTCAAGGGTAGCATATAGGGTCCCTCTCGATCTTTCTTTTTGGGAGATTTCCCAAATGGCTTCAAAGCATCGCTCTTGCTCATTTCCCGCAGGACCTTCATCTCTCCACCTTCTGGCACAGGAGTCATCTGCATCTCTTTGTCGACCATGACCGCCATCTTGCGGAAGGCTTCTGGTGTGGCATAGAGATCTGGCGCACTTTCCAAGTTGCGTAGCACTTCTAAACGGAACATCTCCGGCATCCGCTCCACCTCCTTCTGAACAAATTCGTTGAAGCTGCCTTCTGCAGTCTCCGCTGGCTCCGACATACGTGTCTTGGGAGATCTTGTTCTCTCCCTTTTCGGCTCTGGCTCCTCCGACATAGCCAGTCCATGGACACGTGGATGAACCCTTTGTTCCGGTGATGGGAAATCGAATCCTTGAGACATTCTTGCTCCAGTCGCCGCATTGACCAAGGTAGCCATCTGCATCTGCATCTGTTCCAAGAACTGCTGATGCTTGGATTCCATCTGTGCTGTGTAGCTCATCATCTGCTGCATGCCATGCTTCAACTGGGCAATCTCCGCCTTCAATCCCTCGGGGTCCTTGTCCACATCGAGGTCCATCTCCTCCTTCTCGACTTTCTCTTCCTTCTTCATGGTCTCCTTCAATTCGGCAATCTCTTCTTGAACCCTCTGAGCTTCCATTTGAAGTCCACCACGGATGTATTGATCCCATGCTGCAAACTTCTCTTCCTTTTCTCGTATAGTCTCTTGCAGCTTCTCCGACCTGTTGAGGAGCTTCCGCTCCTCGTTGAGCGCCTTTTGTTTTTGTCGGATAAGTTCTCTCGGATCTTCTTGTACTAGCTCTTGCACCTCTTCTGATATAGGCTCCTTGGTCTCGACCTTCTCCATAAGAAGTCGAATTGCTTGCTTGAGCTTCGAATTTTCCTCCTTCAAACCCGGCTCTGTCCTGTCCTGCTTTGTGGATGCCATAGATGAGGACGATGATGAAGATAAAGCAACTGGGGTGCCGTCGTAGCCAAGCAAAAAGGGGCTGCTCTTCCTTCTTCTTTCCTTTTGCCGTCTTCTCGACTGCCGTGTCTTTTCCTTTTCCACGGCCTTTCCCCTTTCCTTTCTCCTTCTTCACCTTGGGCTCGCCCCACCATGTCTGTGCATCCCATGTGCCATAGTCGTAGTTGGTCACCCATGGCATCTTATACCTCGGCTGGCTATGATGTGCTTCCAGCAAAAGTATCGCCTCCTTCACTTTCTGCACCAGTCGGAGCTTCGGTGCAGTCCTGAAGTCCTTGATGAGCTTCCGGGCAGTAGACCTCCTGTGCCGTGCCCTACGGTGCCAGGAAGGACTGGCAGCAGCGATGGCGGCAACGAGGGGTATCAAGCGTGCAACCGCACGTCTGGGGCTCTAAGATTTCCTGAAAGGCTAGCCTCGAGCCCTCCCGAAAATCACTAAAATATACAAGAAAATCCTGCACCCCATCGTCTTTCATCCTGAAGTCCTACACCAACTGCCCCCCCTCAACAGCCCAGCGCCAAGCCACTCCGCACGTCCGACAGCACTCGGAGCTGTTCGCCCCTCCGGTGCGCCTGCGCCAGCAGCGCCGCCAGCGGGGCAGACGGCGCCGCCAGCGGGGCATCCGCCCGCAGCAGGCGGAGGGCCTGGTGCCAGGGGGCGCCGTGGCAGCGCCAGAAGTGCAAGAGGTTGGAGAAAGTCACCTCGGACACAGCGGAGAAGAGCGAATCGGCTGCTCAGGACCTAGGACTCTGGAGCGACAAAGGTGACATGGCTGGTCAGAAAAATGATTGAGATCGGCCTGTGGTTGGAGAAGACTTACCGGGATTTGAGAAAAATACCTCAAACCAAAGCAGAACATGGAGATTGGCAACGCATGGCAATACAATCTGAGGCCAAACCCAACGGATTCCGAACGCAAGGAGGACTCTGATCAGTTCAGGCGACTCTTCATAACTCAATTCCTGATACCTCACACCTCTACCCGCCCGTCTCGGTCACGGAGCTGTTCGCCTCGTTCGGCTGGAGGCGCTGCCGTTGCATCTCCTCCAGCAAACGCAGGCCCAGCTTCCAGGGCGAGGCGCCGCACGAAGAAAAGGCCGCCACGGCGTTCGGGACTCGGCGCAGTCCCTTCCTCAAAGGTGTGCGGAGGGACTTGGCACCCATCGGAAAAGCACAAACGACTGGTAGCACCCCTTTATTAGCACCTTTGATGTTATGTTTGATCATCCGACATGTGTGGAGTCTTACTATAGTTCTTTAAGCTTGTCTAAATAACGGGAATCGGCCTGATATGGAGCAAGCTTGAGGACTGGCCTGTTGAAGAATATAGTATAGATATACTGATATACACATATATACATATATATATATATATATCCTGCCCTTCTGTTCGAAAAGATTCGAAAAGTGTTTTTCAAAGTGCCTTCACATTTGTAGGAGCACGCTCTCCTTTTTGGAACTTAAAGTCACACTCCTCTATCATATAATATGACTCTCTCTCTCTCTCTTTGATAAGACTCTGACCATATAGAAAAAATCCCACCTTATCGCAAGCACTCCTCTATCATGCAATGCTACTTTCTTTCCGCATTTCTCATCTTTGGTGAGTGTCTGGTTGTACGAAAAATGTATCACACCTTATCCGTAACCTCCTCCTCCTTCTCCTCCTCCTCCCCCCTCCTCCTCCTCCTTCTCCTCCTCCTCTATTATACAAGGCTCTTGCCCTTGTTTACCATGCTCATGCTTGATTCTGATACTGTAAGACTTTGACCGTATTGCAAATGCATATATAGGCATGTCTATACACAAACAAAATCTATGTATGTGTGCCGCGTCTTCCATGAAGAGGATCTAACCTGGTTGTTCCTCTGTAAAGGGTCTGCTCTGCAAAGGTTGCATCTGCGACCAGCAACCTACCCAAGAAGGGAAGGGATACTGATTAAATGCCATCTGCAATCAACAACATATCCAAAAAGAGAAGAGCCACTGCTAAGCAAAAAACTAACGGAAATTAAAGGCAACACGTCATGGCGTATTTTGTCATAGGCGCCAAACAACCCTTTTGTCTGTGGTCTAGCTCCTTTGATTGTGCTTGCTTAGTATTCTTGCTTCTCAGAAACCAACGATTGAAAGAGCTCAGCGACAAAACAGAACATCTGATTGTCTAAAGGAGAAGCCTTTTGAGAATAGGAACAGCTTCTCAACAACACAACAATGGATGATGCAAAGAAGACGTCAATAAGCAGAGCACACGCAGAATCAGAAGGGAACTAGAGAAGACTAGACAACTCAATTCAGCATCGAAAGAAAAAAGCTTAAACCAATAGCAGGGCTAAACAAACGGCGGAACGTACTAACCAAGGAAGGCAGCAGTCCGTACGTACTAAACAAGGGAGCAACTAGGCTTGAAATACATGTTCCAGGTTTAGGGGTGTTTGGCGCCATTGGAAACAGGAGCATATGAATAAGCCCGAAACAAATCAGTTTAGTATGACAAAACAGTCCTAAGCCAAGTAGATTTCAGTGCAGGAGATGAAAACCACTCCGAATTAAGCCTTCCCAAGGTTGGTCTCCCTCCTCTCTCTTTCAAGTCCGCCCTGACTCGTTGATCCTCAAGCTGGGATGCCGGAAGTGAAAGAGGAAAAAACGGATTGATAATTTCCCCTCAAGACTGTTCGGCCAAAATCTTCTGTGGCTGAGGTCAAGATGTGCCACTGCGACTGACATCGACTGAGCCGTGTGAGATCGACGTCAAGTCTCAGAAACCAGTTGTAGGTTTGTGAACTCGGTTGGAAGGAGGAGGACTCCAGGAGAAACAAGCCTCAGTGACAGAAACAAGCCTCAGCTTGGGTGGCGTGACTGTTTGGCAGCAAGCTGATGCCAAACAGTTTCCGCAACTCCCTTTGGAACAGGCAGAAAACGAACCTTCACTGAGGCCTATCAAACGTCTGAACCGGGCTAACTCAATAGTTTCTGGGTGCGGCAACTTGTCAGCACATGGGGAAGAAGAAAAAATGTTTAAAATCAATACTTACCCCGCCACAACTTGATGCAATTTGCATCGCTCAAAGTCTATGCAAGTGAATATTTCTGAAAGCCCAACCACAAAACATCACTTCTAAGCGAAGGCTGTGCAAATGGCCGCTGTCCAATCCATCCTTCCCCACCTCCGCGGATTGGTCTTCAGAACCCTTTGTGAGATCTTTTTCCTTCCCCACAGCCCTCGTCTTCCAAGACGCCCATCTGCCACTGGCTTCCCAGGCCACAGGCCGCCACCGCCGACCGTCCGGCCTGTGGCAGCTCGTCGCCGAACTCCTCGCGGCGGAGCGCGCCCGCGCGGCACGGAGCGCCGCGCGGCTCCGGGAGGAGCGACAGAGCCCACTCCCAGCGGTGCGAGGCCTTGAAGGCTTCCACGGCCGCCAGCAGTACCGAGGCCTAGGTGTGGGGAGTGGGGATGTTTGCGTGGTTGGAGGGAGGATCAGGAAGAAAGATGTCAAAATAGTAAGTTGGTGCATTGAGACCACAATTGAGTCCAAATAAATAAACTGCGAAGCGCGTAAAATGCTTTTCGCTCGGGCCTAAAGTCAGGCGGTACACTTCTTGATTTGTGCAGTGGTGTATGAGTGGATGTCACTTGCGTGTTATGCTTTCCTGT